TTGATGGATGAATCTTTTTTTATTTATTTATTTATTTTCCCCACATTCACCTTTTTCTAAATGTGGATCATGTTCCACCTTTTTAGATTTAAACTCACACAACAGCACAGAGCCCATTGTGCTGGGACACTAGTTCAGTAACACGATTAGATGTGAAACTGGAGATGTGGATTGGGTTGTGCTATTGTTGTGCATTTTAATTCAAAACTTTTCACATTATCTCATTAATACAGCAGAAATGTAGTCTGTTTACCTCAGTCAGCATCTTTATGGTGCTGTGTACTTTTGGAGAAAGCAACAGAATATTTTTTCTTTTAGTATTTTCCTATCAAGAACAGCAATAACTGAAGCTGTTGCATTTGTCAAAATAAATTTAACATTGCCAACATTTGATCTCATTGGCTATGACTGCTTTCTGCTCAGTTACACACGTCTCTGTGGCAGACACCATCTCTTCCCTACTTCAAGTTTATGTTGTTCAGAAAATTACACTTTATCAGTCTGGTCAACTTAGTATGTTAAAGCATGTATGCACTTTTTCTAAGCATGTTCCCTTTTTCACCATAATTAGGAAAGTAAAGGAAGTGAAGTGTTTACTTTGTAGACCTATTCATTTTACTAGATCTGAAATGTACTGGAAATGGTCCAGTGTAGTGTGGCAAATAGGGCTGTTGTGGTGAAGACATTTCCCGTGTGGTAATTTAGGGTGGCTCAACACTGCAACATTACTGCCATTTTTTGGCACTGTTGTTTTAGAAAATTGCATTTTTATCCTCATTTTATAAGGGCAGCAAAGTCTTAATGGTGTAAAAAGGATAGGCTATTTATCAAAGAAATGGCACAACACTAAATCAGTATAAAGACAGATGAGAACAAAATATTAATTTCCTTAAACATAAAGAATGTCTGTATTCAGATGAGTTTCCATGCCTTTGTTGCGTGGTAGAAAAACTAGCATTTTAACTTCATGTGGTAGCACTAAAAACTCTCTCTGATTGTGTGCCTGTTGCACAAATACACATGTACTGTATTTGCTTGCAACTTGAGAGAGCAAAGGAAATCTTCCCAGTTGTCGTGCCACCAGGCAAGTGGGACTCTTTGCATTGTGGTTGTTGCGGTTGCTTGCCATCCCCTGGGGTTGACGTGTCAGTATCGCGGTATTGCTGTTATCACGACAGCCCTCGGTGCAAGAGAAAAATCTTGTTTGTTAGTACTTTGTTTTGTATCAAAATACAGGTCTGTAAGTCTATTGATGGCTTAAGATGGTACATGTAAATTTTACGGGTGCTCTTTCTTTTCCCAAAAATAGTTGTTGTTTTTTTTTTTTTCATTAAATTTCAGTCATGTCAAATTGATGTTCTTCAGCCTTAAACTCTTTAACTCCACCCGTGCACTGTTTTCCACCATCATTTGTAACATCACTGTTTGTATAAATGTCTTCCTGGAAGTGTGTATGTGGTATCCACTGAGCTAATAGTCACAGTGTGTTCATGTAGATTAATCCAACTCTGGTTCTTGTTTCCAAGTCTCAGAGCTCTGATGCACTGTGTCTCTGAGTTGTGCTGCTGTGTCAAGGCTCAGCTCTCACTTTTTTTCCGTTTACTCCAGAATTAGACTATACAAACATTATTGCTACATATAAATTTGATCACTGATTCTGGCTCAGCGGGGAAGAGGTGACTCAGGATGACCTCATGCTGTGCACACTCATGGTCTGCACAAATTAAGTCACACATGAAAAATCTTTAATACCATCATAGCCCAGAGTTCATAATGCTCATGAAATCTCTCCATATTAGCATTCTGTAATGTTTCCTAGATGTAGGGCAAGAATTTACCATATCCACACACTGATATTCATACAGCAATTCTACTATTCATTTTTTTCTTGAGGTCCTGTATGTAAAAACCAGATTGTGTACTGTGGAGTCTGTTAGTTTAACAGTGGACATGATGTCATTGAAACATTTTAAACCTGTAGGTAGCTTCTGTGTTGTGCTCCAACTGAATGACTTGTGTCTGACTCAATTTACTGGACTCTGACAATGTGCAAGTGAGAGTGTATTCAGGGAGGGAGCTGGATTTTTGCCTATTGTGATTTGTTGTACTAAAGAGCCTGTGCAGCCAGCGAGTCCAATGAATACTTCGCCAGTACTCAGTCCCAAATCATCTCTGTGAAAATAGCCTTTTAGCTGGTTTTCACTACACTCATAAGCTCTACTCAGCCTTTTGAATCCATTTATTTTGTCTGCTCTAGGGGTTGGAGTACGAGAGGAAAGCTCTTTTTTAAGGGTTGAGGAATTCACTGGTGAAAACCTCACACTGTCTGCCTCTTCTTTCTTTTTCTATCTCCCCTCTCTTCTTTGTTGTCAGTCCTAGCTTTTCTTCAAAGAAGGAGGCTGTGAGCAGGAAAAATCCCACGAACAAACAGCCAAGAGGTGAAAACTGCATTTTTTTGAAAAGGCTGTTTTGCATCTATCCCCTTCTAGGTTAGCTTTCTTCATCCCCGTCGTAAAGGTAGCCTTATCTGGAGTGCCCTTGGGAGTGGTTACCCTTGGAGTGTGTACCACTGGCACCATCTGTAGTGAGGACGTCCCCAGCTAAAGACGTGCCCATGACAAAGGGAAAAACAAAAGGCAAAATAAATACACAAGACAATAAAAAGATGAAAGGATTGTGGAAAGACAAAAGAGTAAAAGTCTTAGCCATGATGCAAGCAGCAGTGTCATCGGAAAGCTTCTCTAATCCAGGATTACTGTTTATATTCTTTGTGTCTGTATGTGTGTGCACCTACATCTACTGTCTCTGATCTGAGACAAGAGTATACCATACTGTATGTGTTTCACTTTTCCTGCCTTACACAAGGTCAGTGCCCTTTCTCCCAAACATGTCTATTTTTTTGCTGTCGTGTATTAAATCCAAGTTGCATGAGAACAATAACAAAGGATTACAAGTCCTGTAGGTAAATAAAGAGGGGACTCCCAACTATGCCTGGTCATAATGGTGCTAATGGTTTCAACAAAAGGTATTAACAGCTAGGGATGGGCAATCATTTTTAATATTTGAGTAGTCCTTCAATTTAAAAAAAACTGAGTATTTCATGTGACTATGGTTTTGTTTTTAAAAACAAAGAGCCACTGTTTTCCATCGCTTTTACCAGCGCCTTGAAATAACATGATAATGAGGCCAGTATATCATTTTACTACAGCACCAAATACAAACAGCAGAAACATGCAGAGAGTACAGCTATCCAGAAAAACGGTCACAGCATGACAGGATAAACTATATGATGATAATGCATGTGAGCTGCACAGTCATTTGACAAGTGTTGGAGAGGAGTCCATGACTTTAGGATAACTGTTGAATAGTTCCCAGCAAATATCAAATAGCATTTTAGCTTGAAATGCCCATCCCTATCAACAACATGTTTTGAATTTACAAATGCAGGGGCTTGTCTGTTTATTTTTATTTTTTTTTTTTATCACCTTTGATATATGGGGTATTTTTGGGGGTTTTTTTTTTTTTTTTTTTGCATTTCTGAAGTGATTCGATGCTGACATGCTGTCTCCAACTCAAGTTTTGTGTCTATACCAGAAACACAATGACTCATGGTTCAAATAGTCGCATAAAAAAACAAAAAAACCCCAAAAATGCCATTGCTGACTAATCATTTGCAGTGTTACTTTAGTGGGGGTCATTGTGGCTGTATGAGAATTACCATCTTCAGCAACTGCTAATTTTGCAGTTTGGGTAATGGCAATGGCAATGTACAGACATTTTGATATACTTGACATTCCAAACAAAATCTTGTAAATGAACTGATGAAACAGAGTGGTGTTTAGATATGAAATGCAGAAACTGAAGGATTACTGGGCAAGTATACAACTCCAAATCAGAAAAAGTTGAGACAGTATGTAAAATCAAAATTGAATCTGAAAATATTGATTTGTAAATCTGTGCCCTGTATGACATTGAAAACAGTTTTATTCTTTGTTCATTGATGTGAGAACTCAGTTTTATTCTATGTTTCAAATAGACTTCCGCCAGTTTGCCAACATATGTGTGAGAACATTATTGAAATGTTTAAAAAGAATGTTTCTCAAAGAAAGATGGGAAGGATTTGGATATGTCACCATCTATGGCACAGAACATCATTAAAAGGTACAAGGAACCTGGAGGGATTTCAGTGTGTAAAGGGCACAAGCCTAAGCTGGATGACCGAGCTCTCTGATCCCTCAGACAAGACTGCATCAAGGATCGTCACTCTCCTATAAGCAATATAACCACGTGGGCTCAGGATTACTTTGGCACACCTGTGTCAGCCACTACAATACGTAGTTACATCCATAAATGCTGCTTAAAACTGTACTGTGCCAAAAGGAAGCCCACAGTTTCCAGAAGTTCTGGGCTCAGAGACATTGGGACGGACCATCACACAGTGGAAACGTGTACTGTGGTCAGATGAATCAGTGTTTCAGGTCCTTTTTTTTGGAAGGAGTGGACACCATGTGCTATATCAAAATAGGGTGTGAGTGCTGGTCTGGCCTGCCTGCAGCCCCGACCTGTCCCCAGTAGAGAATGTGTGGCACATTTTGAAAAGTAAATTGTGTCAACAAAGACCCAGGAAGAATGGGACAAAATTACACTTGACACACTTCATCACTTGGTGTCCTCAGTCCCTAAACATCTTAAGTGTTGTGAAAAGCAACATCACACCCTGATAAATACTGTTCTAACTTTTTTGGAATGTGTTGCAGGCATCAGAATTGAAATCAGTTTTTATTTTGATCAAAGAATAAAATTGATGAGGTATCACATCAAATAATGTGCTGCTCTATTGTTTTCAATGTAATACAGGACACATGATTTACAAGTCTATCAGTTTTAATTTTGAGTTTACATATGTTTCAACTTTTTCTGATATGGGGTTGTACATAAATGTGAATCAGTGTTTATTTTGTCACCGTGTGAACACTTCTGCTCTTTCCTTCTGTCTGTAGGAGCCTCTAGTGGGGCCTACCACTGCCACCCAGACCATACATATGGAGAGGAGAGTGATAAGGTAAGCCACAAGCCCTTAACCTGCTCATGTTCATGCTGCTATAGGAAATGTAGGAATGTGCCTGGACTCAGTATTACTGTACATTTATGCTGTGATGCTAACTCACAACCAGACAAATTCTTGATGTGTGTGATTGTACCTATCATATATGCTGAGTGGAATGTGTGTGTCTCATAGTTGTCTTAAGAAGAGGTTGTGTTGTAGTTAGCAGATATAATGGTTATATTTCTATGTTGACGCCTCTCGGGTACTGAACTCAACTAGTTCATGACTTTGACTCTTGTGATGCTTTGTGCTTTATGTATGTCAAAAACGTATCCCCATGCTTTCATTAGATATTTTAAATAGAATATTAGTGCATGTGATTAGTTAAAACTTGAAGATGCAACAGAAATGATTTACTTCTTGTATTGTAAATATTATATTTAGAATATTTACTGGTTCTGGTACAAATAATGTTCATCCATTTAAAATCTTGTCTTTTATACAAGTTTTACAAAGATTCCTTTTTTTAGAATTTGAAATTTAACTTCTTTAAAATGTAATATATTCAAATACATTCACAAGGATTATAACAAATGTTAAAAATGAAGACCTAACAGACTTTTCCCTGTCTCGTGGGCTTGGAGAAATACCTGTTGCTCTTTATTTTGTGGTCTCAGTCGGTAAGTCATGCTTGGTGTGTAGACATATTTAAACAGATGTGCATCCTTCAGAAACTCAAACACAGTATAGTCTGCAAATAGCAGCTGTGTCTATCCTATGTTATGCAACTTAAGATGCCTGTATCAGCACAAGCCTGTGGCAAGTATGCCCTGCATGGATGGAGATGTAAATTGTTCTTATTTGTTTCAGCATGCTCCTCATGGGCATCCGTGCTCACATTGTTCCATGTCTCCCCCTGCCATGTGTTCAAAAGGACATTGTGGAGCCGTGTTATGCAATCAGCTGACGGGACAGTTAAGGAGTTTGTTTTTTCCAGATGATTACTGGATGATACATCTATACTGTAGCCACGCCACCCTGGGCGTGACTGATCTCGACTGCTCAGCAGGGTTGGGCCTTGTTAATTCTTGGATGGGGTTAACTCCTGGGAATACTAGGTGCAGTGGCTATGCTAGTGCACTTTATGTGCCGTCCCAAGCCTTGATAAAATGGGAGGGTTGCATCAGGAGGGGCATCTGGTGTAAAGGCTGTGCCAAATCACATATGCGATTACAGTAATCCGCCATGGTGACCCCCATATGATGGGGTACAGCTGAAAGAACAGCAACTGAATGATACATCTATGTGGCCCTCATATGTATAATGTCCTTATTAAATGTCTTGGTTTTTATTCCCATTGATACTACTTATTCTTGATTATAAAATTGATTTCATGAGTGGGGGAAGTACATCGACTATGTTTAGCATAGCATTACTGATAACTTTAGCAATGCTGCCATGTCATTGATGGGAGTATTCTAAAAACATAGTCATGTAGGAATCAGCATAATTAAACACTTGCCTAGTATGTGCATGTACACTATGTCACTATATGATCATCATCACCAGCTTGTGTTAAAAGCAGGCAGAAGATGTGAAGGAGGAGGAGAGGAGAGACAGGATGCTGAAGAAGGTGTTGTAGAAAGCTTGGGGGGGAGACAGGGAAAGGAGGAAGGGAGGCGAGGCCAAAAACAGGGAGGGGGTATTGCTAATGATTTCACCTCCAGCTGTGGGACTTGGTTGGAGCAAGAGAAGGGAAAGGAGGGGAAGGAGCGAGTGAGGAACAGTGGCAGAGGAAACAAAATGGGCTTTGAAATCTTGTTGATGGAAAGAAAATAAGTGGGGGAGGGAGAAGTGTTTGTGTGTTAGTGGGAACACGTCTGCAAACATTAATGAATCTTTAAAAGCGAAATGGCCATATTTGCTCAGTGTTCATTCATTTCTAGGGCATGAAAGCTGGAAAAGAGAAACCCGGAACTCACTTGTGTGTCTCACTGTAGGTGTGTGTTAGTGCACACTCTTTATTTTGGTTCTCAGCAGTGACAAGGAAGCCACAACAGTTGTTGGCCACAGTTAGTGAGTTTGTGTGCGAGTGGATGCATGCATGTCCCAAATGTGAACACTGTGAACCAGAACATATAATAGGGTGTGTCTGTACTCATGCTTCAGGGTGTTTGTTCAGCATGGTTTGTGCACTCAGTGAATGTGGACTGGGTGAAAGCAAAGAGGTAGGAAAGGGTTCTGTTTTCAGATCTTTGATTCACATCCTCTTAAAGTGTCTTCTGCCTCTCTTTCTGACACAAGTGTTTGCTTTAGCCTCTACGGCTCCTGCAGCTCCAGTACAGCCCCACCAGTCAGGTCCGGGTTAATGAATGTCACAGAGCAGTGATAAAAGATACGATGAAATCCCTACAACTCCTCAGCACCACATACAACAGTTTAGGTGTGAAAGTTTATTACTGTAGTTTCTGACAGTGTAGGCTTGTGATAATTGCATTCTATATAATAATTATAATCAATTGTACAATAGTGGAAGCTGTTATCTTTTGTTACACAAACAAGTGAATTAGGTTATTGTGCTGATTAAAACAAGTATAGTACATTTCTTTAACAGATGCCTTCATTCCTCACCAAACATACTACTTCAATAGATTTGAGAAGAGATTTGAAAGAATTTGGATTCCCTAGGTGGACTGGGAACTGGATCGGGATTTGATAAGTTGTAACCGGACCCTATCCCTAGGAACTGGAGAGTGCGTGTGTGTGTGTGTGTGTGTGTGTGTGTGTATGCATGTATGTATGTGTGTGTTTTCTGTGATGAAAGACTGCAGACTGTAATGTAATATTAGCTGTACAGCAGTTCACAATATTTCTGGGCAGTGCTGGGAGTCACTGGGTGTATCTGTATGTGTACATTTGTCATGCGTCTGAAAGCGCTTTTTTCCTGTGTTCTGTCTTTGGTGGAAATGTGTGTGTTCATTAAGCACTCTGTTAGAGCATAAGCTTTGTTATGGCGTATTGCTTGAGGGCACGCACACGCACACACACACACACACACACACACATATTCCTTTGTCTGACACCACTCCCCTCCCAGTAACACAGACAGGCCCATCAAACTTTCATACTAATGGACAATAGTCTTCATGTGTTGAGACAGACTGTGTGTATATGTGTGTCCTGTCTAAGAACTTCTTGTCTTGTCCCCTCACCTTTCAGGCTGGAGTCTCAGACAGACAGAGGAAGAGGGGACTATAGAGGGCTTCAGCTTATCTGATGGAAAGAAAAGGGGGGATCGGAGGAGGTTGTCGAGAAGGGTGGGGAGTGAGCGTGTCGGGGGGAGAGGGAGGGAATTGGTCGAGCTCGGGATGGAAGAGGCTGGCTTAGATATGAAAATGGGCACAGTAGATGTCCCTAGGGTTTTGGGGTTGGGGTTAGGCTGGTAGAGAGGTTGTGGGTGTCGGGTTGGAAGAGAGGGGGTTGTTGTTGAGCCGAACAGAGAGGTCTGGGGGTGGGGGCGGATCGCTGGTGCCCTCCATCCTGTGTAAAAATGAGCATAGAGAGTATGTGTCCTCCAGATTGCTTTTGATGCATGCATCTATGGTTTCTGACAAAGTGACATTGTGCACACCAGTTCTCATGTATGTGACTTGAAGAACTTGACAAATATGCCTTTTTTTTATTTACCAAAAGGAAGTGAAATGCGTCATTATATATTAGATATTCTGAAAATCAGCCTGACTTTGTTGTTTCGGAAACATAACTGAGTTGAATCAGACAAAGCACACTTGTCTTCGATGGTAGTGCCTCATATTGTTCAAAACATTCTAAGCATTGTGTTTGATAGCTAGGGTCATTTAATTCAAGTTCACAGTAGTATGTACATGTTTTTTTTTTTGTCAAGGCAGGTTTTAAGTGCTCTTGTTCAACAAAAGGAAGGGTTCATATTTTGAAGGAAGTTGACTTTATAAAAGTAAATAAGCTTGAATTGACAGCAACCTTGAATGTCAGAATTGTTCATCCTGAGGAATAAACCAGGTAAAGATTTTGACTTGCAGGAATGAAGGATTAATAGAAAATGTTTGCATCAACCCACACAAGTCAAATGCTGACTGTTATTTGCAGGAAAAAAAGAACAATAATATGTTTTAAGCCAGGGATAAGTTAGAGAAGGATCTCTTCATAAGATAGGGCTTTGAAGGGGTTGGTGATGACACCAGTTATGTTGGGTCCAAATGTTCAGATGTGACAGTTTACACAGCTTAGAACAATACAGGCGGGCACAGACGAACACATTCAAACGTTGTGTGTGTGTAACACGACCTAAATTTGTTCTGTCATTTAGGGTCTAATGTGCCCTGAGGCTCCACCACCTAACTTCACCCCTCTCATGTCTGCCTCACTCTACCTCTGCTTCTGGTTTTCCTCCGATGCCCTTCCTTATTTTCCACCCCTGTCCTGTCATGTAGCTCACTCTGCTCTGGACTAAATGAAGTCATTGTCATTGTTTGTCTTTCCCATAAGCTGCACAAGCTCAGGTCACATTTAGTGCTCTGAGTGAGTGATAGAGGCGTTAGTGAACAGGCCCAACAGTCAACATCCATTTTATTCAGGCTTGTTAGAACAGCAGTCTCCCTCTGAACAGCTTCAGAAGGTACTGGTCTTTATAGGCTGCTGAACTCAAACGGTGGCAGCTGCCCGTGTGTGAGTGTGAATTTGTGCATGTCTGCAGGCGTTTCCATAACTGTGTGCGTGTGGCTGTATTTCTGCAGGCTGCTCTCCAGCTGTTTCCTGTTAGCGATCACACTGCTCTCAAGGTTGCTGAGCTCTGTGTGCATCTTGGTGTTAAAAGTCACAGCCGCCGAGTCATTTTTATCACACTTTAACAACGTGTCTCTCCCACTAAGAGGGGAGAGAGAACCAGGGGTCAAGTAAGTAGAAGGGGAAAGCTGTGTTGAGATGGTACCTTTGAGGAAATGTGTGTGTGTGTGTGTGTGTGTGTTGCGTCTGTTAAGAAACCTCGTGTTCTTCAGAGCACAGCCGAGGAAGAATGACTAACAACTGACACACCAGTGTTTGTGTGTGTGTTCTTGCTTCACCATGTGCCAAGTGTGAGAGTCACAGCTTGACTGTAAGTGCAGTGACTCAGATGAGGTGGTAGAATTGAAAGAAGCATCTATGTTAACTCCTTAGTCAGTCTGAACCTGGATGACTACATCTTAAACTATGTCAGTACGAATGACTTGTTTTTTTGACTCTACAAGAAAAGCATTTGTTGAGCTGTCCAGTCGAGGGAATGTGAGTGTGTTTGACTCACACATGGCCCTGTGGTGACGAATGCTCGTCTTGCATTTCCTCACTCCAGGAGGAAATGACTTAAAACCCCCAACGCCTCAGAGAGCTGGTGGTGTAATGTGCCCTGTTTGAGACACACACACTGGTTCATACAGGAAATGCCGTGTCTCACAAAGGAACTTGGTGTCTAAGCAGTAGTATGGATTGGAGGCCAGACAGACTTAAAGCACAGTAAGACTGATTAATTTGATGCGAGTGCTATGGGTCACTGACCACAAAACCCGTCCCCTCTCCCACCCTTCTTTTCGTTCTCTTCTTTCCACCTCCATCTTTCATCCACTCTTTGCAGAGTGAGGAAAGCCCCAGTCCAAAGCGCCAGAGGTTGTCCAGTCAGTCTGTCTTGGAGCAGCTAACGTCATCTGCTCCCCCACCATCTACCCCTTCTCCCCCTATCCGCCCCTGGGAGTCTGGACCTCCGAGTCGGAGACAACCTCACCCCCACACACACTACCACCAGGAGAGATGCCTCACCCCTGCTCGGCACAGACGCAGGTAAGCTCTCAAATTCTATACTGTGATAAGTTAACTGAGGGTCCCAAATAAAGAACTGCACCTTTCTTCTCACCTCTAGCCCGCCAGCAAGGCGTCAGCGTGGCCGTCTCTCCAGATCTGCCCGTTACTTGCCTCCCCATCACCACTCCCCCACCCAAGTCCCCACACCTCGCCTGTCACCATCAGAACTCCAGGATGAAAACTACCAGCACAACCCCCATCACTCCACACAGCAGACGTACCCAACACACACTCCCAGCACATACATTCAGCCCCCCACAGCAGGCACCGGAGGGGCTGGTTCAGAGGAGCCTCGAGCTTTCCACCCACCCACCTTGTCGCCACGGCTACTGCATCCAGCTGCTCATCATCACCATCATCACCACCACCATCAGCAGCAGCAGCAGCAGCATCATGCAACGCAACAGCAGCAAGGAGCCATGGTCATGGACTTGCATGAACAGGTTAGTCTGCAAGCATCCTTACTGTTTGTGTGAGGACATTAGGAGGCATTGTGTGTGTATTAACTGTGGTGTACTTTCTTCCCAGCTTCAGCAGGGCAATGTACCAGTCTCCTACACAGTGACCCCAGTCCCTCCCCACGGTCTTGCAGCACCTTTGTGTAGTGGTCAGCACCTTCCCCCTACCTGTTCATCACAACAACCGGTTCCTACCTGCAGTGTGGTTTTCAGCACTGGCCAGCACTACCACCCGGTGAGAATAACAAGGCAGCGTGCAGTTTGTAGCAGCGTGTGGGCTTGTTAGTTAACAGAAGTAGACTTTGTACTGTACATTGTCTCCTACAGCTAAACTAAAGGAAAAAAGAAAGTGAGTTAAAAAGTAGCACTGACCCACAGAACATGTTCCTGTGTGAAAGGGCTTGTTGGTCTTTCTGGTCTTGGCTGCCATCCTGTGGCAGCACTTGGAACATTACAATCTTCACAGTGAGAAAACATGCGACTAAACCATTTCTCTTTTCTCTTTTTCCTCTTTCTCTTCTCACCCGCACTTTTCCAGATGCTACAAGCCTGTTCAGTGCAACATTTGCCCGTACCCTATGCCTTTCCCTCGCTGATGTCCAGTGACCCTCAGTTCTTGCTTCCTCCTCCACCCCACCTCTCTCACCACGCAGCCCATCTCACCACACCTGGGCAGTTTCTGCCTTTCCAGACGCAACAATCTCGATCGGTATGTGAATATCTTTTTATAGTTGAAATGTTTTTATATTAACCTGCATGACTAGAATGTTTCTAATAGGACTCAGGACATGTCCTACAAATAAAACAGCAGCAAACATCTCTGGTTGTTGTCATTGTGTTTCTACCAAGCCGTTACAGAGGATCGAAAATGAGGTTGAGCTTCTGGGAGAGCAGCTTTCAGTAGGTGGAGGTTTCAGCTATGCCCACCATCACCACCATCACCACCAGCCTCCTTCCACACTGCCACCCTCCACACCACTCCAGTTCCTATCGCACCATGACCCTTTGTCACAGGAGCTCTTTACAGTTGTGAGTACATTCTCTGAAACACATTATAAGACAAGATTATGTTAAAATGATGCTTGTAACATCAGTGGAATAAGTTGATTTTCTTCCATGTTCCATTATTCACAGCCCTATCCCCACTTTATGCCTCGTCGATTAACAAGCCGGCGATACCGCTCTCAGCAGGCGGTACCTCCATCACCCTACCACCCGAGCTTCCTGCCGTACTTCTTGTAAGTGGTTTTCACTTCCTCAGGTTTATGTTGGAACCACACAGGTGACTTATCTAGATCCACCACAGAGGCAACACACAGTACAGTCTACTAAAGTTGTTCTTTGTTTACCAACAACCCGCCATAGGTCTATGCTTCCTGTGCCCCCAAATGTGACCCCCACCATCAGTCTAGAGTTGGATGTGGATGATGGAGAGGTTGAGAACTATGAGGTAGGATGAACTACTGCCACAACATTGAGTCAAGAATAATGTTATCATAGTGATAACACAGTATGTGGTTTGAAATTGAGACATATAAAATTAACAACACAGACAACATAAAATTCAGTCATTCCTCGTCAGTTTCAGCACAATTTTAACAGTTCATTAAAGATCATAATTTTTAAACACTTGACCTGGACTTTCATTTTCTGACTCTTTGTTTTTACATGAAAATAGTGACAATATTTCCATTGTAAAATTTTGTCTTCAACTTTTTCTGTGCAAAACCATCAGGCCTTGTTGAACCTCGCAGAGCGTCTAGGAGAGGCCAAGCCACGTGGTCTAACTAAGGCAGATATAGAACAACTTCCATCATATAGGTTCAATCCCAACAACCATCAGTCTGAGCAAACACTGTGAGTACCTTTTCCCTCAGTATTGTGAGTTTGGGGTGGTATGATTTTTTTTAAATGTCTTTACCAAGCTTGCTTTGTCTTACAGGTGTGTGGTGTGTATGTGTGACTTTGAGTCTCGCCAGCTCCTAAGGGTCTTGCCTTGTAATCATGAGTTCCATGCCAAATGTGTAGACAAGTGGCTTAAGGTGAGTGAAGACTTTTAGCTGTTGAATAACTGTGAATTTATCAACAGTTTCTTACTGATTCCTTCACACTCGATAGTGGTGGAGTGAAATTCAGCCACATATTTTTGTAAAATATGTGTTTCTGCAAGCTTGGTGACATCATGCTAGCCTACTGGGACCTTGCTAGCATTGCTCAGTCACAGTAGATCACTGAGCTTGTCTCTGTTTTCTCTGTACTCAGCCTTGTATTGCACCTGGTATTTTGTTTTCAGGATTGTACATCTTTTCAGATAATAATTATAAGGTTGATTAAAAAAAAAAAACCTCTCTGAGCTAACAAGCTAGCAAACTGACAGTGGGTAGGCAGTTGGCAAGTTCACTCCCAGCACAGCGCGTTCACACAATTTATTGCATCTTCTTGTCTGCAACAAAAGCAAATCCCTGATTACTGTGATTAAATTCCAACATGTACTGTAAATCCTGGTGTAACTGGGCCTGTAATCTGGTGACTTCTGAATAGATTAGGTAAACATCAGTTTTACAACACTTTTTGTTTCCTCATTTATTTGCATTGAACCTTCATCTGCTTATGTTCCACTCCTTGTAGGCTAACCGGACCTGTCCCATCTGCCGAGCTGATGCCTCTGAGATCCAGCGGGACTCTGAGTGACTCGTATCTACACCCAACATCCACAATGCCTCACTCCCTTCAACTACTCCCTTTTACCAATCAGTGAATTTGTCTCCCTTTCCACATTCGGCCACATAACTGGGACCAGTGCTCCTTATTCCTTCAGTCTTTGTCCCCCAGGACAGCGAGCAGTGATTGTCACCTGGGATCAGCATTTAGGGGAGTGAAAACCTTCTACTGACTAAAGCTCACTTAGTTGCTGGACTTCATAGGCCTTCTCTTTTGGACTATTAAAGCTCTACTACTCTGCCTTCTGCTCATGGTCACTTGTTTCTATGACTAGCCTTTGAAACACATACACACAATGTCGTGCATTTGGACAAATGTATGTGTAGTTTTTAACTCATGAGCCCTTCAAACTCATGCGACCTCTCCAGTCTTCTACCTGATGGACAGAGAAAAGACTGGTTTGAAAACCTTCTGTATAGTTGTGTTAATAGACCCTAAGGGAGAATTGGCAATCCAAAGATTATGATCATTTCATTGTTGTTATTCTGATTATAATTCAGCATTCGCATCTTGGCTTGCAGAGACGGTTGTGTTTACCTGACGCATTATAATTACAATTGAACGGAATCGGTCCATTTTAATTTCTGTATGTGTATTCTTGCATTCCACAGTCTGCGTGGGGTGGAACACAGATCCTGCACATGTTGTGTGTCAATGAGCGAGTTACTTTGGAGCAGTGAAAAAAATACTTTATTTTCTCTACATGTGTGTCTGCATATGTGTGTTACTCCTCCTGTGGTATTAGTACAGTTCATGTGGTACCGTCCTGTTCCACGACCTGCTTGGGGAAGTTAATAGTGCTCCATTATATTTCTTTGTTTTTAATGCAACCCATCATTGACATGCTCTAGAACCTTGACTCCGCCACTTCATGCCTACCTAGCTACATTGTTCCTGTCTGAAATTAGCAAAGGGTCTAGGCTTTTGAGACATGAACTGTGACACAGTATTTCCTAACTGTAATTAAACAAATTTAATACTATTTATCTCAGTCTTGATGTCCACTAAGCTCTCAAGGCATATTATGTGACAACAGTTAGGTCTTAACAGTGTCGAGCAGGTGGATGCAAAACATTCACTCAAACATCACCAAAACCTCTCTAATGCTAAGTTTGCTAGCTTTCTTATAGGAATTAGGCCTGTGAAAACGTGTGTCATGATAATGAAGCAACTTACTGTAAGTTTTGGCAGATATAAATTGAATGTTTTCTCTGTCACTAACATGGGACAAGTTTATAGAGACTTATAAGGTCACAGTTAAATCTATGTTTCACCAAATGGTGGATCAGACACTGCAGCACTTTAATAGGTAGATTTAAGACCTACACTCTCTTCACAATCCACTGATGTGTTTCCAACAGTCACTGTGTTTATGTGAACAAACAGTTGAATGCATTAAAACCTACATGTTCTCCAGTTCAACTTGTAGCACCTACAGTATCTCAGCACGTTAACCCTTCTGTATTCTCACTGAGCATCTATTCATTTCCAGACATTTTGACTCTTTCTTAACGAGACTTTATCTCTGCTAGGCCTATGTCAGCATGTCATAAAGTAACTTCAAAGTGTTAACGTCGTTAACGACAGAGCAGCTTTTCTAATGCCATTTTTCACAACTGATATTTTCTGTTAGGATGACAGCCTAACATAGGCCTTAGAGAGATTTCTTAGATACATGTTTAGTTGGAAAAGTTCAGCCAGGCGTTTCTGGTATCATATCTGAGATACCTTTTATAAAACTTCAGTTTCTAGGTACAACCTGTATCACCACATCAGACCAATACATTTGTTCCAATCTGTTTTCAGTGCAAACCAAGTGTATCGGTGTCAAGGACGAACATTCATCTGTGTAACTCGGACTCAGTGTTGTTATTGTATAAAGTTATGTAATAGCCATGGGAATGGAGGGAAGTTATATTTTTTGTCATCCTTTCTTTTCTTTGGGGTCAAAGGTCCTATTTGTGACTGTATGCATACATTGTCTGTCTTAGGATTGTTTTTGTGTTGGTACACTAGCAATTACCTCAGTTCCCACTATTTATCTTTGCAGAAAATGGCACCACCAGTGTGATTAGTGCGTTTCCGTTCATTTTGCTAATCTTTCCCATGCAAGCTGTTGAGTTGTTTGAATATTTTTCCTTTAAACTATGAAATTCTATCATTAAAATGGTGTCATAGTTTCATCATGTATTATATCTGTAACCAAAATCATTTGAAGGTCTGTTATGATAATGAAATTTTTAACAAACATTTGTACATTTTGTATGAGAGTTATTACTAGTAATACTTTATTAAGTAGTGCAATGTTTTTTTGTTTTTTTTAACCCTTTACCCCATCTTTTGGATTTCAAAAGCTGGTTCAATAATAAATGTATAACCTCCTCTTCTAAAATACAGCTGTTTTCCACTTATTCTTTCCTGAACATCTCTCCCACCTTTGTCAGCCTCCCCTTGGGTTACTTCTCTGAGTTGCACAACACAGATACAGTAAGTGTTGTGTTTTGAGGAAGGTCCGCTTGGTGGCAGTGTAGTTCTGTTATCCAAGAGCTTCTGGTTCTGAGTTGGTTGTGACCATTGACATTAATTTACTCTCTGTTACAGTCCTACATTTACTCAAATCCTGACAGATACCTCAGGTTGGCCATGCAGCACATTTATGTGTGAATTTCATATGGAGCAATATTATTCTATATGTCTATAGAAACAGTGGGGGAGCCTGAAAAAGGGATCCATTTGAAGAGGAGAGACTGTGCAGAGTCCTATGTCTGTAATATAAGTAATCTAATTAGTCACGAAAAAGCAGAGCAGAAACTGCACCTGACCTGAGGCCATGTTCTGTTCATGAAAACTTCACTTCCTGTTGAGGGTCCCCACTTTAGCTTTCATCATGCCATCTGAATACAGTGACCCTGAACCTATATTCGGGATAAACACTGTAGCTAGAACCTGTCCAGGTTGTACCCTGCCTCTTGCCCAATGTCAGGGATCAAGGTTATGGGATTAGGGGTAAACAAATGACAATGAAGGTTCAAAAAAAGAAGAAACTACAGAAAATGAGAAATACAAGAATCAAGAAAAGTAAGAAATGCTGAATGATCACATGGACCAGATGTATTGATTCTTGGCAGTTTGTCGAGACTGGAAGCAAAAGGTGAGAATCTCTCTGATCCTCTTAAAGAACCTCCTGACTTGGCATGCTGTTTTTATGCTGCTCTTTGATATGACATCTGAAAACCATAACAAAACACATACAAACCAGAAGAGTTCTAGACATGTGACTAACCAGGATGGACTAGGGAGTTCTCCTCATTCTCCAGCTGTACACAGATGTGATCTGGACAAGTCGAGACTGTTTCCTCAGGAGGAGTTATTTTTGTCCACTGTTGTGTTGGTTACAGCGGCTGCGCACTTGGCCATGTTTCCAAAGCTCCCTTCCCCCCGAAAGGCCTGCACATGGTAGCAGGAGGCCAGCCAGGTTCTTTCCTGTAAAGAGGAGATGCTGACTGTGGACGATGAGGAGAGCAGAGAAGAGAAGAAGGACAACATTAAGGCACATGTATACACTGTACATGCCACTTCATTTCAATTTCACCTCATGAACAGAGTCACACAACTGTGGAAAAACCTAATACTGTATAATCAGTTTGATTCAATAAGAAAAAAGTAGGAGTTGTCTATTAGTAACAGGCCATCGTTGTCCTTTACCATATTACATTCCGTTATTGCAGTTATTCTTTGAAACTGACTCCAATAATACAATGTATGCATTTTAAATATATATTTCTATTTTAATAGAAAGCTTTACAAAGCTTAACTTGATTTAGAACTGACCCAGAGCCCTACCAGCAGTTTCTAACAGGGTGCCTATTCCAGTTTTTAGTGTAACACAATATTAACTGACATTATAAGAACCTTAAGGTGGGTCTTGGTTGAAATCTAATCTTGCTGTCCTTATGTCCAGTTAGTATCATTTTAGTTGAGGCCATACTTACATGATGCCTGTATCATTTAATATTCCAGCACAGGAATATGCTCCACATTGCACAGAGACTTAGCCAACAGGTCACCGTTGCCATCTAGTGGCACTTCTCATACGGTATCTGCAATGGTAACATATCAGCCCTCCTTTTCTATCTTGTTCACGATCAAGATGGCTTTACTGTAATAAAGTTGATTTTATATTGAATTAATATTGAAAGTTTTAGCTCTATCATACAACAGCTAATGGAAGAGAAACTGTTAAGTTCAGATGCATCTATGCTAAAATTTGGCAGAATTCCTGCCTTTAAGTTTATGTTCTGGACAAATTCTTGAGTGTGAATGAATCAGCCTTTACACCCTCCTTTACATAGAGCTCTCTTGAAATGGAGTCATTAGCTTATTTTTGACTGATATAATTTTGAAATAACTCTGACTGGCTGTCAAAGAGAGTTAACGCAGATCCAGGCTCCTTCCAGATGGATCAGTGAAGCGGTCGATGTTGTTGACATTGAGTCAGCTCATCCACCTTAGCTGAGTGGAACATCTCCACAACAGTGGGAAATGAGGTCAGCTGCACTGGGTAAATTGTGACAGATTAAACAGATTAATCATGAGGTATAATGAATGATTGTAAATCTCATCTGAAGCAGATTTACATCTTGTTGTCTGCCTTTCTGAGACCCCCACCACCACCAACCCTGCTTTATACTATAGCATAATAAAGTTATTACTGTATTATTACATACTTTGTTGCCTATGTGAAATTTCTATCCTTTATGCAGTATGAACAAGTATAATGAACACTTTTGCAACAATAATTCACACACACAGAACCATACATATGCTCATGCGTTGCATACAAAAACACAGTTGGATGCACATGCGGTTCATAAAAACTTGTGTTAATGTGATGATGCAAAAGCATGGGAGGAGGATCAACTGCAGGGCAAAGGCTCTGGGGCTTTGATCACTGTGGTACATTACACCTGTTACCCTCTGCATATGCATGTGTGTGTGCGCACTTGCCTATGCCAGTTGTTTGGACAAAATACCGATAGCATCCTATAATACCTGCTGCTACAAGATCAACTCTAGTGGATGCATGTAATGTTTGCCTTTAAATCTCAGCTGGTCCGTGTAAACAAGTAACGTGTTAGTTATACCACCTGGACCGTGATGGATTTATGCACATGCTAAACCCACAATAATGGCACAGGAGTAAAACTCTTAGTTTTATTTGACATTATTATCTGCGATTATCCTTAGTGATGGTAATGTGTGTGTACATGCATTTATATGCTTTTGAAACAAATAGTACCTGGTAAAAAAAAAAAAAAGAACTTGTTTTCAGTTATTGTGTGCGGTGTTCCTTCTTCTGATTTTGTGTAGGCTTTTATTACATAGTAGGTCAAATGTGAGAACCAGTCGCGCGTCGCTCTTACTGGCATGTATGAGAAATTCAAGAGAATTTGTGGCATTCATCAGTTTTCTCGTACTTAGAATTTTATTTTAGTCATAGACTAAACTGCTCTAAATCAGTAGTAGAATCAGAAGCAGACTACCTTTCTACACAGAGAAAATACACTTGTTTGACATAAGACTATCAGCTTCATGTGAATGAATGGGAATTTAAATGTGATACCATAACTGATCAATTAAAGATATACCACAAACTTAATTTATATTCTGTTCACCATGTCATCATCACAGACGCTAATTTATTTTATATTGTAGTATTTTTAGTGACATATTTGGCCACAGCAACTTCTGCATTTCAGTATCACCCCAACAGTTGCCTCAGCTGAATGTCCAGTATCAGACCGTTGCACCTGACAGTGTAACGTCGTCTGTAGACTAATGTTCTCTACACTGGGCCTCAGGTCCCCTTGGCCACCTTACATATAGGTTATTACCTTTGCTTTAGAAAGATGTTTTTAGCATCTTAGAGACTTCATGTAGCCTGAGCCATTCTCTCTTTGTTCCTGTCACAGTACAGCATTGCTCTATAGTGTTACTACCACATGTGTTAACATATTTTAATTTTTTTGACTCCTCTAAAACAACTACTGACTTTCTTACAATTGTTCTTCCTTGGTTCTGCAGCAGGACTTGAAGCCATGCAGTGTAATACAGTATTCAGATTTTTATTATTATTTGTTATTTTTACTTTGATCATGATAAATCGCACAAAGGCACAGTTTGTGGTGGGTGTGCCTTAAAACACTCAAAGAAGCCTCACAGAAAAAAACTTAAATTTATGACAAGAATACAGTGTTCTTGTAAGAAGCCTGGTTTATTTTTTATCTCTTTTATTTGAATTTTGATGAGTTTTTGTCACAGAGTAATGCACAAAATTCCTCAGCTTGTGCCTAAACAAATATGCTTCTTAGAATGATTCTTATGTAAATTTGCAAGTAAAACCTGATATGATGTTTGCATAAAGTCCTAAAATATCTGTCTAGCCTACATCATGTGCTGTGGCCTCTTCTCTGGTTGTTAAAACTTACAGTGGGTTTTCTCAGGGCAATGAGAAGTAGGCTACCGAAACACCACTGGCGGAACAGAGGGAATCTAGAGCAAACTGGCAGATGAGCGTGAACCTTTTCCACTCAACTAGCTCATGGAGCGCGCACACACACAGCTCACCTCCGCAACACCCCACTCACGGCTTCACCACCGGGCTACGCTGACGGCAGTATATAAAATTGCTCCTGGCTTCTCTGTGCACTTTTGCTGCAAGTAGCTACACGTGGAAACAGCCGTACATGCGTCCTGGTTGTGTGGCCCCATACTTTGCGCTGCGCCACTTTCTTAACGCACTAGAATTTGTCTGCGCTTCATCAGAAGAGGGAGAACTGAACGCAGGTGGTTTCTGGTGGGTTAATTCGCAAAAGAAGTCGTAGACTGTGGTGATCCTTTGAACGACAGCCGCACTCATTTGGACCACTAGATTTGGATCGCGAACGATTTAAGTGCCATCGTGTGGCGTCCGCGAACAGTGGGCAGCCCAGCATGCTACGTTTGGCAAATAAACAACCTCTGTCCCTTATTATTGTAGCCTAAGTTTACAAGTTTTTTTTATTGTATTTAATAAAAAAAAAGTATTTTTTGCGCAGCTACAATCAACCGGAGCGGGTGTGCGACATCCACGCATAAAGGCGCGATATTTTTCCTCTAGTCATATTCAAGGTACTTCTTTTTTTGGAGGGGGGGACACATATTAGAAAATAGGAGATGACTACGGACG